GAGGGTCCGTGTATGTTTTGGTCATTGGATTTTCCTTTCAGAAACGGGTATTAAAAAACAGAAAACGAGTGGTTATTTGATTTTCGTTTTAAAATACAAAAATGAAAATTGAAATACAAGGCGTTTTTCTTTTTCATGGTCAGAAAGGGATGAGCGAAATTAAAAAAATTATTCGATTTTCATTTTCTATTTCATATAACAAAAAATAAAATCACTAGAAAACAGAAACGGAAAAAAGGCCTGTTTTTTCATATTCTGAGACCGGATGTTGTCATTTACAGGACGGTGCTGTGTAGAAGAAACAGTAGACTAGTAGACTGCGGTCAATCCAGCCGTGAGTCCGATCTCCGTGGTCAAATCAGCCGCACTTAAATTTAGAGTGTACAAGTAGTCTCAGCATTATGGTAAATGCGGAGAGATAGCGTATTTACTTCCGGTTTTCAAAATAAAGGTATTTAGAACAGTGAGCTATAATTAAAATATGTTACATTAAAGTGTTTCATGCGCCCCTGATGAATAAAAAAACACTTTATATCAAGTATCTTTACTGCACCAGTGTGGAGAAATGCCAAAATAAAAGTCTCATATTTATGCCTCCAGAGATAGCATATTTGACCATATTTGAGGTACTGTAAAAACATATTGCTCAGTGTTTCCTGGCTACTGATGGTATATTTGACTTTTACACATATGAGACTACAAACATACTTAATATCAAGCATTTTTACTGTACCAATTTGAGGAAATTCAACAATAAAAGTCCATATTTGTACCTCCATGTGGCATATTTTCATATATTTGAGCTACTGTAAAAACACTTTGCTCAATAATTCCTGGCTATGGATGGTATATTTGACTTCTACACATCTAAGACTACAAGTATACTTAATATGAAGCATTTTTACTGTACCAATGTGGAGAAATTGAAGAATAAAAGTCCCATATTTATACTTCCAGATTCCATATTTTCTTATATTTTTGAGCTACTGTAAAAACATATTGCTCAATATTTCCAGGCTATGGGTGAAGCATTTTCATTATACTTCAATAATGATGCAGTAATCGTGACAAAATTTCACACAAATGTTAAATAACATCTTGATAATATAAACACTAAACACTAAACACAAAATCCTACACAATTCTAATTTGTTTACTTTTCACACAAAATGCAATGCCAGTCCACATTCTTCTTATTTTGCAGCTCTGCTGTGTCCATTTGTAGGTAAAAGGGAAAAATAATTAGTTTTAACTTCAAAAACACCATTGTACCTACTGTCTCTTCCTCACATATTATTTTTTTATATTATTCAGTGTGACAGCTGTTGCAGGTGGTTCCACATACAGTTTAAATTTTTACAGTAGCTCAACTATAAGAAAATATGGAATCTGGAAATATAAATATGGGACTTTTATTCTTCAATTTCTCCACATTGGTACAGTAAAAATGCTTGATATTAAGTATACTTGTAGTCTTAGATGTGTAGAAGTCAAATATATCATCCATAGCCAGGAATTATTGAGCAGTGTTTTTACAGTAGCTCAAATATATGAAAATACCACTTGGAGATACAAATATGGACTTTTATTTTGGTATTTCTCCACACTGGTGCAGTAAAGATACTTGATATAAAGTGTTTTTTTATTCATCAGGGGCACACAACACTTTAATGTAACATATTTTAATTATAGCTTACGGCTCTTAATACCTTTATTTTGAAAACCGGAAGTAAATACGCTGTTTCTCCGCATTTACCATAATGCTGAGAATACTTGTACACTCTAAATTTAAGTGCGGCTGATTTGACCACGGAGATCGGACTCACGGCTGGATTGACCGCAGTCTACTAGTCTACTGTTTCTTCTACACAGCACCGTCCTGTAAATCACAACATCCGGTCTCAGAATATGAAAAAACAGGCCTTTTTTCTGTTTCTGTTTTCTAGTGATTTTATTTTTTGTTTTATGAAATAGAAAATGAAAATCGAATCATTTTTTTAATTTCGCTCATCCCTTTTTGACCATGAAAAAGAAAAACGCCTTGTATTTCAATTTTCATTTTTGTATTTTAAAACGAAAAACAAATAACCACTCGTTTTCTGTTTTTTAATACCCGTTTCTGAAAGGAAAATCCAATGACCAAAACATACACGGACCTAGGAGGCTTACCAGTGTCAGTTTCATTCACACTTTAAACTTACAATCTATAATGTGTATTCTGATATCTACTACTGTTACTTCACTTTGTTCTTTCTGGTTCTTTCTTCCTTTGAACAGCTTTGTATATAATGTCAGCTGTCACTAACACATTTGAGAATGTGAAAGCGGTTATCTTATCAGCTCATAAGAGCTCCACATCAAGAGAAAAGGTCAACTTCTACAACTCCTGGGCAGAGAACTATGATCAGGTGAGAAAACTGAAGTACAATAAGTCGATCAGCAAAATATTGGCAGTATAAACCAGTTAAACTATAGGGAATAGTGATAATATTGTGCATAGATCTGAGCAATACCAAGAAAAACAATGCAGTGCAAAATGTATAACATATTGTGTCTCTGTATGCAAAGAAAAATAGCTTCTATTTTCTTTATATCTAGCCAAATGTAGTTTTAGAGCGCTCACTGCAACTCTAGTACACATCTGTTTATATGATAAGTTGTGAATTAATACATTTGTTCAGATACCTGTTCATGTTTGCCCTCTTCATGTGTGCTAAAAGCCACCGTTCTTTCATTGAACTTGTTGGAATAGGATGTGGCTGTTCTGGACTACCGTGCACCAAGTCTGGCAGCAAACAGCATCTCCTCCCATTTCAACGGTGATCGTGAAGCAGCCGTTGTGCTGGATGTGGCCTGTGGGACAGGACTGGTGGCCAAACAGGTAAACTCACACAATAGAGAACAAACTCCTGAGAGACATTCTGAATAAAGGAGAAAAAAGTGATTTAAAAAAAGTGAAAAATGAAATATTTGTTGATCTGTTTTTCTTCTCAGAGTGAAAAAGACTAAACGTGTTATTGTCTATAAAATACAGACTATCCCTATCAGCTTTTAATTTCCATGTTCAATTGATTTGACCAGTGTCACTGATTAACAACCCATCCTGTCTCTGTTGTACAGTTGAGGAAACACGGATTTAAACATTTTATGGGTATTGATGGAAGTGAGGCTATGTTGGACTTGGCCAGAGAGAGCGGGTTGTACCAGGACCTGAAGCAGTCCCTGCTGGGAGAGGAGCCGCTACCTGTCCAATGGGGTAATTTAATGGTTCATTACTTCACATGGGTCATTGATCAGCGTGATTCAGTAGGTGATCCTCAGGCAGGTTGTTTATTCAGATGAATTAACGTAATTTGTCTTTGTTATGATTATTTTATTGTCTGTTTACTTTGTCACTGCTTTTTGCTGTTGTTATTATGTCCACGTTATAGTTGGATTTTATTCTCTGTTAAAAATGTTGGTCATATTGTCCACCCTGTATGTTGATTTGTGGTCGACTTTATGAACTTATTATGAAAAAACCAACCTCTGTAGACATTATGGCTATTAAATATTATTAATGTTTAGTATTATTATTATCAGTAGTAGCTGTAGTTGTCTGCATTTCTTATGGAACTGTGATTATATAATATTGAAATTAAACTCTGATCTATTGCACTCCTCCACCTTGCCCCTCTTCACTTCCTGCAGGTTTCTTTGATGTGGTTGTTATTGTTGGAGCGCTGAGTGTTGGTCAGGTCCCGGTTGATGCAGTCAGAAACTTGTGCAACTCCACCAAACCAGGTGAGAATATGTGTTTTTTCGTTTGATGCTGTCTCAATTGCAGTTCTGATTTTTGATTGTAAATCTGGATCTCCTCACTGTAGGTGAGTTTTAACAACACCACGGTTCCCTGTTTTACAATAGGTGGCTACGTTTGCATGACAACCAGAAGTAACTGTGACAATGTGGACTACAAAGTTTCCCTGGAGCGTGAGCTGAAGCAGATGGAGGAAGAGGGATTGTGGACTTGTGTAGACGTCACTGAGGTGGAAGACTGGGAGAGAGCGGTGTCAGAGCAGGAGGACGGCTACACATCTGGTGCTGTGTACCTCTATAAGAAACTATAAGTGTAGCATGACCATGTAGATGTGACTTTGTATCTCAGCAAATGAACAAAACAGCATTATTAAAGAAGATACAAAATATTCAAATAACTCATATTAGACTTCAAAAAGAAAGTGTCTAGATTTTTTGATACTTTCAGCCTCTTAAAGACCCAGAGTTGAAGATGCGAAACTGCATGAGTAGATTTGAGGCTTGAAATGTTAATGACTAGATGGTTCAGTTTCATGATTAACAGTATCCACATTACGTTGTACTTCATATGTCTACAGATGTGCAGTATCTTGTGGATTATGCAGTAAAGTCTTAATAGAAAATGATTGCAAACATGAGAATGATGTAAGAAAATGAGTGTGAAAATGATTTCTGTTTATTCTGTGTGTTTAGTGCATTAATATCTGCATTAATATAACAAACAGGATTGTTAATGAATATTCATAATAATTATGCCCTTGGAGAATAAAGGTTTTTTATTTAAAGCTATTAAGGTATAAAGTCTTATATATCAACACTGACAATAAAAAGTAAGAAAAAGTATTAAAATGTGTACAGAATGATATATATATATATATATATATATATATATATATATACATATATATAATATATATATTATATATGCAGTAAGCTATATGTAATACACATTATGAGTAATAATATATAGAAAATATAGAAGAATAGCCTATCATGAAATAGCTTTTCATATAAGTACAATAATAAAATATTCATATGGTATTAATATATAGTGAAATAATATAAAGAAATGTAATATATATAGTGTTTGATATGTCACTACTATTTATGTGACTACTTCTGTTGTAGTAATGATAATAGTAGCAATAGTAACAATACATACAAGAGGACAAGGTGCAATTGTATTCTTGTAAAGTGTCAATACCATAATGTTCAGGTCTTGTTCATATGCAATAGTCATTATTGAGTCAAGAGCTCAGTGTGACATCCCTGGGTGAATGAGACGGTGTGTGTGTGTGTGTGTGTGTGTGTGTGTGTGTGTGTGTGTGTGTGTGTGTGTGTGTGTGTGTGTGTGTGTGTGTGTGTGTGTGTGTGTGTGTGTGTGTGTGTGTGTGTGTGATTGTCTTTAGCTATTTCCACACTTACTTCCAGGCTGGTGGCAGTGGGCACAAGTGAGCATCATAAGTGCTCTGTCCTGCACTTACGTATTCTGTACCTGAATGAGCTGCCTGTCTGCCTCATTTATCAAAGAGCAGATGAGAAGGATTGTCTCGAATAGCACTGCTCTATTCCCTTATCCTACTCTGTGTCACACTCAAGTCCCCCCACAGATCTGGGTCCAGGGAACAAGACATCACAACTTTTTGTGTATCAGTAGTTTAACAAATAACTTAAAGATTAAAAAAGTATAAGATGTAAAACACAATCACAATGATTTAAGTATACGTTTATATTAATTTATTTTAAAAAATAAGAGAGAATGAGATTGACACAAGTGACGTGAAGCAAAAAATTTTACTCACGGAATCAGATAACCCTCAGTCACACTAAAAGGCCTTAGTATCAGCAAAAGCATGTTTCAATGACAGTGTATTAATAAACACAGTGTATATACAGCTGTGACTGCATGAGAGAGTATCTCAGTAAAAGTTTTCCACCAGCCTGTAGCAGCTTGTATTTTCTCACCAGCACAGAGATCATACTGAATCATCTGAGGCCTTGAATCAGTCACTTGTTGTTTTCCCCATTCGTTCAGCCAGCTGAAGTTTGGAGACTATATAAGACAGACCAACTCTACCACTGTACCTCTGTGAAGACGTGTAACTGGACAATGAGGGTTGTTCTTGGTTTGCTGTTGTTGCTGCTCGGTCTGTGTGGCTCAGGGGCTCAGGGGGAGGGTGGAGGCCTCGATGAGGTGGGTGCAGTTGAGGAATCATCAGAGCAGACCACAAAGCAAACCACCTGTGATATTTGGGCAGAAGTGGTGGAGCTCAAGGTGCAAATGGAGCTGCTGAAGAGAGAGAATTCTGGTACAGACTGGTAACTTTTCCTGTTGATTCAAGAGTTTGACTGAAGTGTGTCAGTGCACTGATAAACTTATTGTGAGCTCCACAATAAATCTATAAAAATGAACATGGTGTGGAAGCTAAATGTAATAATTGTTAAAATACAACAGAACTCATTGTGTTATTTAAACTGTTAAACTAATTTTGTTTTTCAGTCCAAGCCACACAACTGATCTCTCTGGAAATTAGACTGACTGCCACCGAGAGCAAAACAAGTGACCTAGAGAAACAGAATGCAGGTATTTCACTGACAAACATTATTATTAAGTGTAATGCATGGTTTGTTTTTTTCTGTTATTATTTTAATCTATATACATCTGTAAACATAATATTATTTTCATTTTTAATTTAAAAAAAGGGAAAGAAACACCAAAAAATTTTAAAAATATTGCTCATAAATTTGCTCATAAACAAAAGTTTTATATACAATTTCACCTGATGATGGTCAGCGATATTGAGATCCTTCACTTAAATAAAAGTACTAATATCACATTGTGAAAATATTCTGTTACAAGTAAAAGTCCTGTATTGAAATTGAAATTCCCCCATGTTACACTTTTATATATTATATCATTTGATTCTTATTATTTGTGTAAAAGAAGGATTTTATTGTTGTTGTTATTGAGGTGGAACTTATTCTGAACTATTTTGTACAGAAAAGCAACTAATAGTTATTTTTGGATTAATCTGCTGATAATGTTTTTTGATTCATCAATTCACAATTACCCAGAGCTCAAAGTGACACTTTCACAATGCTTGTTTTGTCCAACCAATATTCCAAACCGCCAAATATGTACTTAAGTACCAGTGACAGGAGAGGCTGTCATCATGGAAACAATTAAAAATATAATAAACAAATATATGATAAACAAATAGATTAAATTGTTATATTTATCGAATGGTTTGAATTATGAACTCATTTTCCATTTAACTTGAACATTTTTGATAGTTTTTTATTAAAAATCGCTGAATTTTCGCATTTCCGGTTCAGATACGGGAAAGAGACGCACAGTGAGGCAGCAGCAAGCTATGCCTCACCTTGGATTGTGCAATCCCTCACAAACTGTGCTCTGCCATGCAATGAGAGCGTGTTACTGTCTGTATGTTGCCAATTAAATGTTTCAAACACTTTTAATATATGCACCCCTGACTTTCCATAGTTTAGCTGGTGTATATAATATATGTGTGTGTAACCTGTTTCGTGTGCTCAGCGATCTTACAACGGCAGTGAAGAGGCACTAGGTGAGTCAGGCAGTTCACTTGCCTCATGGTAGGGGGCACTCGTGAGCCCAGAGATTCTTATGCTACTGCACAGCTGCAGAGTAGGTGACTGCGAGCTAGCATCTTACAGTCCGTTCCTATGTTCTGAGCAGTCCTGCTGTATGTTTTTGTTGTTTATTTGAGTATTCAGGTGTCAATCTGTCATTGTCCAAACAGGGTCTATTAGGGATGAGTATGGGCAGAGCCCGTCTATGGAAAGCCTGGCCACTCCCTATTAAGTCCCATTGTACCGAATTTTGGTTGCAGTTCCACCAGAGTTCCACTGGGGGCGATCGTCCTTGAGTGCAAAATGAATGGGAGTCTATTGAGCTAGACGGCTAAATTTGTCTCTTTCACCTGATTGTCATTGAGAAATCTCAGATTTGATTGTAGTTTTTGCAAGTTCAACATGGGTTATAGGTCGAAAGTTGAATGAACGAGTACTTGTGTCCTTTCGATTTCTTACAGGTTGAGTTGTTGTTGCCCATAACACGCTAGCATTCTGGTAATGAACGCTGATTGGTCAGTGAAGGACTGATTACGACCAGAGATCCCGCTTGATGGCATCCTGGCATCCGAAGCGGGAATATGAATATTTCGGCGTGGTGTTTAAAACAGCAAAACAAAAACTCCTTCCAGCACGTGTATTGACAGGGAGAGCCTAACCTGTGTCAGCTGTGTTGTCGATGCCTCGAGAGAAAAAGAAGTGCAGAGCACGGAAGCACAAAGTGACTCGAGGCTTGCCGTAAAGCAGTATCTCTGGCCGTACAATGTGTATGACGTCATTGACATTTTTAAAGACTTTTTAAAGCAAATGAGTGAGTCTAAAAAAATCTAACACCCAGCACTGTGTAATTTCTTTGCATCCCCTTTCGAATGCAACATTCAAATTACGAGACAAAAAATTATATCCTGAGAAAAGTGGATTTTGAGGGGTATAGCTCCATAGACCACCATTCATTCTGCACTCATCCTGTGAGCGCCCTCATAAAGAACCAGAGTGGAACTGCAACAGTTCAGAAGCCGGAAGTTTACCGAGAGTGGAACTTCTCCCCTTATTAGACATTCTCTGGTGTGGGGTAACCTACCGGATTCTGAGAGGGCGGGAGTAAGAGAGTAACGGAGCGGAGACGTAAGAAAGAGATAGAGAGACGCTGTGCTGTTCATGAGTTTGTTAAGTGTCGTTAAAGTTGTTTTATTTCTTTAATTAAAAACGCTGAGGGTTTTTATGAGTCTGGCCTCTGCTAAGAGGACGAAGAAGACAAGGTTGGTGTGAGTGCTGAACAAGTGCATAAACTGAAGCCTCGTATGGACTGTATGCTAACTAGCATTAGCTTTGTGTGGACTGTTGATAGCGGTCATGTTGAATAAATGTTCCCCTATTTTTTTAAACTGTGTGTGTACGAATTATTCATGTTGCAAATGGAGTAAACATTGTGTTTTATGATTGAAAAGGAAGGTGGTTATTAAAAAGTGTGCATGGGAGTTCACTGAACTTAGCCTCTAGTGAAAATCAGATTATCTAGTCGAAGTAAATGCATAGAAATTTCATATTTAGTAGGCTCCTACCAATTCACCTTCCATGCTAAATTGTTTAAAAGTAATCAAGGCAAACATTTTGTTACAAATTTGAATTGAGTAGGAGGGCTACATTTATAAATCTGATTCTGATGAAGTCAGTGCCTCACCAGCCATGAACCTCGCCGCACGTCACTGCTAAGTACAGTAATTGAGTAAATGTACTTAGTTACATTCCTTCACTGACGATGGTGCTAGATGAAAAGTTAAGAGATCACCAAAGTGATTACAACTCATCCTGAGGGAGAAATCGATTTCGAGACAAACTATCCAACAGTTGTTGAGACATTTCACTCAAAACCACAAATGTCAACCTCATGGTGGCGCCAGAGGAAAAGTCAGAGGATCACCAAAGTCAGTAGGATTCAGTGTCTGGAGATCACACTGTATATTATTTGTTTTCCATATCAAAAAGCCCTGGGAGAAGGACGCTACACTTGGCGCCACGACCAGGTGCTGAAGCCATCTTCACCACCATCACCCAACACAAGCCTCTCCGACCAGCAAGGCAGGCGATTGCTTTCGTCCGAGCAGGGGAGAATCCTAAGCCCCAGCCGAGGGGGGCAGTGGGACTCCTTGAAACCGCGCCGGACTGGCAGATGAAGGCCGACCTGAGGAAGCAGCTCAGATTCCCAGAGCACATCGTGGAAACCACCCTGAGACCAGACATACTTATGTTCTCAGATTGAACAAAATAGGTAGTTTTTCTGGAGCTGACAGTCCCCTGGGAGGAGCGTATGGAAGAGGCCAATGAGAGGAAGCGTGCCAAGTACACCGACTTGGAGGAGTGCCGCAGACAGGGGTGGCGTGCCCCGTGTGTGCCAATCAAGGTGGGCTGTAGAGGCTTCGCAGCGCAATCTCTCTGCAAAGCATACAGTCTGCTTGGCATCACAGGGGCACGCCAGAGAAAGGCCATCAAAACCACAACAGAGGCAGCTGAGAAGGCCTCTAGATGGCTGTGGATCAAGAGGGGTGATCCGTGGGTACATGCTACTTAGGCACAAGTCAGGACTTTATCAATCCCGGCTGGGTCGCCTGGGTGAGGGTGTATGATGTTGAAAGACCCGAAACACCCAATGACCCCAGGTTCCATCACTGATGATGTGTTCAAGTGCATCAATAGATGTATATTTAACTACTGTTTGATATTTTGATGGCTGCTCTGCTCTGTAATTCACTGTCATTGTATTAACTCCAAACTTATTTTTAGTGTGTCAGTGCACTGATAAACTTATTGTGAGCTCCAGAACCAATCTATAAAAATTAACATGGTGTGGCTAATTAAGCAATAGTTAATAATAAATACAACAGAGGTCATTGTGTTATTTAAAATGTAAAATTTTAATAAATACTATTAAGAGCAAAGTTATTGTCAGAATAGGGCTAATGGCCCTCTGACCTCTTCTCCTGCAACCTTCCCCTAAAATGAACTAAAACGTTTTATTTGCCTTAATGGATTCTAACGGTCATACTGGTTGTTTTAACTACTGTACATTTACAGCAGTTTATTCTTTGAATATTGGCTCAACAAATAACATGAGGGTCACAATACTGTATGAAATGTGTTGTGTGTTGTGCTCTATAATTCACTGTCATTGTATTAACTCCAGACTTGCAGACCAGACTGAGTAACAGTGAGAGTGAACTTCTTGTCAGTAAGTCCAGGATTGACCAGCTGGAGAGAATAAATGAAGGTGATGATTGCACACACACACACACACACACACACACACACACTCACAAACATTATTTAGTGTAGTTAAGTTAAGTTTAATGATATAAATGAACTTTTTTGTGTTAACAGAGAGACCAAAGGTGGCCTTTTACACAGCTCTGACTAATTCAGGACATGTTGGACCATACAACACTGCCATCACACTGAAATTCAGTAAGGTCTTCACCAACATTGGCAATGCTTACAATCCAGCTACAGGTAATATACTGCAGGTCACATGAGGTCATGGAAATCTACATCAATTAATTGTTAATATTTTTAATTTTCTGTTCTTAATCTGTAGGTTTCTTCACAGCACCAGTGAAAGGGGTCTACTATTTCCAGTTCACTGTGTTTGGTTTCCAAGCAGGTTCTATGGGTATAACTGTGTACAAGAACAGCAAAAGGATTATGGATAATTGGGGCAGTGTGCCTAATGGAGGTTCTGAGTATATCACTAACTCTCTTGTCTTGGAGCTGATAGCAGGAGATGAAATTCACCTTGTTCTCCCATCAGGCTATTCTCTCTTTGACAATGAAACTAACTACAGCACCTTCAGTGGCGCCCTTCTCTTCCCACTGTAAGGATGTTGTTTGGCTGCTGTGTGATTGATTTGTCACAAACTCTGTTGTTATTGGTTACACTGTGATTCTTTAGAAAATACTGTACACTTAGTGAATGTATCAAATAATGTGATTCTGAACCTGACTTCCCTCTTGTATCGTTACATAAAAACAACATTCAAATAAATCAAAGATTAATTTAGGTTTTTTTATTCTGTTTGTTATCATGGACTGTAGGTCTTTTTTCCTCTTTTTTTTGGTAAGTATTTTTTTTGGCTTTTATTGCCTTTATTTGATAGGGCAGCTGAAGACAGGCGGGGGGGGCAGAGAGAGGGAGGGTATGACACGCAGCAGACGGTCGAACCCTAGGCCGCTGCAGCAAGGTCTTTATGTAGAAATTGACAGAATCCCATGAACTGCTCTGATGTTCACATACTGCAACTATTTACAGTTTCTAACTATGCAACAAAAAAATATATATAAAATATATATTTTTTTGTATATGACATTATGAGGCAGTTCATACTGATGCAGCAATGTGTTAGCAGCACTGTTGTAGCTGGTTGATGTATAATTTTAAACTACTTTATAAAGGTATATAAAGGTTCTAAATCAGGGTATGGGCCCCTCTAAAGGACCATAAAATCAATCTGAGGGGTCATCAGATGATTAATGAGGAAGAAAGAAAAATAAAAGTTCTGTTGCACAAGATTATTTTCTTTTTTCAGACTTTTCATAATTATGTTTTTTTTTTAAATATTGGATAATTTAACCTCTTTGGGGCTTAAACGGTCATTTAAATAAAACCATGTGAATGGTTTTAAGGGGAAGTTTCTCTTTGGTGGAACAACTCACAGACATCTGAAACATGGCACTGGGCCCCAACTACACACTGCTTCTTTTTAAGAGGCCACAAGTCAAGAAGGTTGGGAATCACTGGTTTAATCTTTAACAATATATTGTATCATCTAGAATAATCTTTTTTTTTTATTGTAAAACCTGTCAGAACTAAATGTTGTGGAGTGAAATCTACAATATTATATAATAATGTATCCCTCTGAATTGTGGTGGAATAGAAGTAGCACACACATATTTGAGGGAATATTATTCTTTCTTTAACATAGTTGCACGTTTGTTTTAAACAGAGTAGTTTTCTTTTTTCTTATAAAGGGAAATGTAAAGAAAGCCTATTTTAGAGAACAAAGGGTTCTGAAAATGCAAAGAAACTGTACCTTTGTGCATTAACTGTGATGTAGGCCTACAGAGATACTCTTCTTTTACAAAGTCACACTCCTTTGAATATTAATATAAACTGAAAAGTGTGTAATCATTCCGGTGGCGCGGCTCTGCAGCGACCCGGGCTCGTACTACTGTTGCTAATTTTTTTTTGTGTGTGTGTTTTATTTAAGTGGTCATGTTTGACGGCTGTACGCTCTTTATAGGGATTTGTGTTTATGAGAGTATCGTGCTGCGTTAACAGCAACTGTTGGTAGCCTCGAACAATGGCATCCGGCCTACAAAACTTTGCCTCCACCTGCTGGCTCTGATCATTAGTGGACTTTTAGTTCTTTGTTCTGCAACAACTTCACAGTGGGAATATGGATTGCGCCATTTATACTGCAGGGATACAATACTGTCCCTGCGATCATTTCAATCCACACCACCAGACCATCTACCGGCAACACAAACCAGCACAAGGCCGCAGCGAAAGCGAGGGAGACGAGGAGGCGTCCGGGAGCATCTTCGCCGGCGAACCAGTAAACCACCACTACCATCAGTAATTCTGAGCAGACCTGGCTTCAACAACGAGTCCCGGACTCTCTGCTCATCCTGGATGGTTACACGCTTGTGCGAGCTGACCGCTCATCGGTCGCGTCTGGCAAGAGGAACGGAGGGGGCGTGTGCGTCTACGTGAGTAGTAAACAGTTTACCATGAGAGGCATTGTATGTAACCCAGACATAGAATTGCTCTGTATATCGCTGAGACCCCACTACCTGCCAAGGGAGTTTGGCAATATCATCATAGCTGCTGTTTATGTCCCCCACCGCGGCAACGCAGGTAAAGCTGCTGCGCTCATAGCAGAGTGCGCACACGAACAGCTGCAGCGCACACCCGGAGCACACTTTTTAGGCGATTTTAAGCACTGTAAGCCAGAGACTGTGTTGTCAGGATTTGAGCAATATGTACGATGCAACACCGAAAATAACAAGATCAAGTATGCGTATTCTGCAGAGTCAAAGCCCCCTCTTTCGAGCTCCGACCACAACACCATACATTTCATTCACTCGTATAAATCAGCATTCAAGTCAAGCAAACCTAAATATAAGACTGTTAATGTTTGGACAGACGATTCAATTGAGACACTAAGGGTGTGTTTTATGTGCACAGACTGGTCCATATTCTATGCACTGGAACTTGATGAAGCTACAGTTACTATAACTGATTACATTAAATTCTGTGTGGACAGTGTGGTAGACAAAAAAGATGTTGTTGTTTATCCTAACAATAAACCCTACATTACAAAATAAATTAAAGATTTGATAAATAGGAAAAAGGTATCTCTTAGAAATAAAGACAGGGCAGGACTGTCAGTAGTACAAAAAGAACATAAACAGCTCCTTACAAATGCAAGAGAACAGCACAGGCAAACAATGGAACAGAGCTTTCAAACCTCAAACAGCAAAAATCTTTGGGACACTATGAATCAGTTACAAATATGAACTGGAAAACAACAAATTATCACTGTGGATGAACAACAAAAGTCAAGTGAGCTGAATGACTTTTACTTGAGGTTTGAGTCACAAAACTTCTCTCAGCAGTATGATAGTATGTTGTTGTCTTTGCCAAATACAGATGCCCCCCACTGGCTTGAAGTGGACCCGTCCAGTGTACAGTCCCTTTTTAGTAGGGTGTGCATTAAGAAGTCCACTGGGCCAGATGGACTACCAGCTTTCTTGCTTAAAAGCTGTGCAGAGGAATTAACACCAGCATGGTGTCCCATATTCCAACGGTCTTTGGACACTCACACTGTCCCAGCTTTGTGGAAGAATTCAATCATAACAACAGTACCTAAAAAGCCCTCTGCCATAGTGAATAATGATTTTCGTCCTGTAGCTTTGACCTCTATTGTCATGAAATGTTTTGAGAAATTTGTAGTGTCTCTGCTCAAGAAAGAAGTCGAGCTAGACTTAGACACATGGCAATTAGCCTATAAGAACAAACGCAGCACTGAAGATGCCATCCTCTGCATTTCACACTTTACTTCTAAGCACCTTGAGAACACAAAAGCCTATGCTACAATTTTATTTATTGACTTTAGTCCAGTATTTAATACAGTGCAGCCCTATTTGCTTTTAAAAAAGCTCAAGGATATGAGTGTTAAACCTTCCTTGATCAAATGGTTTTATTCTTTTTTAAATAATAGGACACAAGTGAAAATTAATGAGACATTGTCAGAGACCAAACGTAGCGATACTGGGGTCCCACAAGGTTGTGTGGTATCAACTATACTTTTTACACTGTACACTAATGACTGTAGGAAAGTACACCCCAATAATTATATTATAAAATTTGCGATGATACAGCGATCTTGAGCCTTCTCCACAAGGACATGGACCCTTATGTGTACCATAATGAGATAGCCACCTTTATCAAGTGGTGTGACACCAACCATCTCATTCTAAATGTCATCAAAACACAAGAGATGGTCTTTGAACTGAGACAAGTGACTGACCACAAGCCAGTGGTCATCAAAAACCAGAAAATTAGCCAAGTGTCCTAAAATATCAATACATATTTAGGTGTCCATGTAGATAACATTCTTTGCTGGAAAACACACATTGATCACCTGTGTAATCGACTGCAGCAGAGACTGTACTTTCTAAGACGACTGCAACTGTACGGCGTGAGCAGCCAGATCATGCTGATTGTACACACACACACACACCAATCAGCCCTATTATGACCACCTGGGCACCCTGGTGGCCAGCCTTCGCTCCCCACATGCATCAGTTAACCTTGGCTTCCCGTGACCATGTCTACGGTTCACCGCTTTTCCTTTCTTGGAGCACTTTTGATAGGTACTAACCTCTGTAGACTGGGAAAATCCCACAAGAGCTGCAGTTTTGGAGATGCCCTGACTCAGCCGTTTAACCATCACAATTTGGCCCTTGTCAAAGTCACTCAAATCCTCACACTGCCCATATTTCTCAATCAACTTTGAGGACAAAATGTTCACTTGCTTCCAAATATATCCCCCCCAATTAACAGGTGCCATGATAACCAGATGATCAGTGTTATTCACTTTACATGTGGTCATAATGTTATGGCTCATCAGTGTACATTACTTACTTTAATCCATGTTAAGTTTAACAACATCTTTTTACTTTTGTGTGTTAACAGAGAAACCAAAGGTGGCCTTTTACACAGCTCTGACTAATTCAGGAAGTGTTGGACCATACAACACTGACATCACACTGAAATTCAGCAAGGTCTTCACCAACATTGGCAATGCTTACAATCCAGTTACAGGTAATGTACTGCAGGTCACATGAGGTCATGAAAATCTACATCAATCAATTGTTAATGTTTTTGATTTTCTGTTCT